AATCTTTTACATTTGTTCTTCACCTTCTCTGGGGACACAGATCTTATTTACACCCTGTTAGTTTGGGTTACATCCCTGATCTAATTCTTCAGGACTTCTCTAAGATTACAGTGTTCCTTCATTGGGCATTCCAGGACAATGTGAGCCAAGTTTCTATTTCTCCCATCCCCATCCCATGGCACGGGCAGGACATCCAAGGGATCAGGCCCAGCCAGCCTGGGGTTGGGAAAGGCAGGTCCTGCCTGACCAACCTGGTCTCCTTCTGTGACAAATGACCCACTCAGCAGCTGAGGGAAAGGCTGGGGATGTGTCTGCGCTGACTTCAGGAAAGCCTTTGAGCCCATCTGCCACAGCATCTCCTGCACAAACTGGCTGCTCATGGTCTGGATGAGGGAACTGTTTGCTGGGGGAAAAACTGGCTGATGGCCCAGGCAGTGGTGGGGGATGGAACAAAATCCAGGTGGGGCCAGTCACTAGTGGGGTTCCCAAGGGCTCAGGGTTGGGGCTGCTCCTGTTTAACATCATTATTGATGATCTGGATGAGGTGATGGAGGGTCCCCTCAGGAAACTAACAGATATCATGAAGTTGGGGGTGAGTGTGGATCTGCTGCAGGGCAGGAAGGGTCTGCAGAGGGATCTGGACAGGCTGCATCAATCAGGCCAAGTGTCAGGTTCTGCACTTGGATCCCAACAAGCACCTGGAACACTCCAGGCTGAGGGCAGAGGGGCTTGAGAGCTGCTCAGCAGGAAGGGACTTGGGGGTGCTGCTTGACAGTGACTGGAGATGAGTCAGAGGGTTCCCACAACCATCCCAGCCAAGATTTCAGTTAAGTGGGGGTTGGTCTCTTCTACCAAGCTTGTAGTGAAAGGAAGAAGAAATGGCCTTAAGATGCCTTAGGTGAGGTTCAGATTAGATATTACAAACAACTTTTTCCAATGAAGGAGTGTTCAGGTGTCGGAACAAGTAGCCCAGGGAGGTGGTGGAGTCTCTGGGAATGTCCAGATTGCATCTGCATATGGCACTTTGGGATGTGGTTGAGGGGTGGTTATGTTAGTTCTGATTGACAATTGGACCAAAAGATCTTGAAGGCCTCTTCAAACCTTGATGATTTCGTGATTCTCTGACCTGTCATCACAATCTCCACATTCGTGCTCTAACAAGATCTTTTCTCAGTTGCATCCCTCAGTGGGACTCATTAACACTACAAGAAACTTCACAGTTTGAATCTCACTCTGGTTTCTCAAGAGGTTCCTGCAACTCTCCTCAGGGTCTGATGTTCAGGGACTCATCCTCAAAGCCCCCAAGGCCGATGAAATGCCTGGGGCTGTTGCTGTGCTGCTGAGCTGGGCCGGGCTCCTGGCACACAGAGAGCTCCTGGCAACCAAGAAGAGCTTCAAAGACACAGCTCTGCTGCTGAGCAGCTCCTCTGCACAGCCCAGCAGGGCTGAGGGCACTGCCTGCAGCACCCAGGGCACAGGAGAGAAGGCAGAGAGAGGAGAGGCAGCCTGGGCTGGGAGGGGACTGAGCTCTCACTGCAGG